GGGGGGCGGCTCCCGAGGAGGCGCAGCCGCCGAGCTCGAACGCGACGAGGCGAGGCGGCCACCTCGTCAGAGATGCGCGAGGCCGTGGCCATCGCTCTGACGTCCAATCCGCGTTTTTTTAGTTTTCGTGCGTGTTGTTTTCGCCAAATGATCAAGGATGCTCCTGGATGGTCCTCGCCGAAAGAAAAATCCACACGTCCGAGCGATGCCAAGGGCCTGGGTTAGGCGGCGAGCCAGGGGGAGAAGGGAGAAGGGGCGTGCCTTCTCAGGAGGCTCGGGAGCCCCCCGGACTTCGGAGAAGTGTTCGAAACCTGCCCCGAAGACAAAAAAAACAACTTCTCAGAAGGCGCGAGGGCTTCTGAGAAGTCCCGCCGCCTTCTGAGAAGGCCTTTTCCTTCTCACTTCCCCTTTTCGTTCGCCGCCGATGGGTCATGTTGCTCCCGTCGTACTCAAAGATTACATCCCAGAAGCAATCACGAGCGCCAAGGAAAGTGCCGGAACCGTGTCGGACGAGTGCCTCCCAGGGCCCGACGCGTGAAAATCATCGAGTTCTGGTATTTTGGGGGGGCTCGAAATTCTTTCTCGTGAGCAAGGCTGAAGTAAGTTGGAACATCGAGGGTTGTCCCGTGGAGCATGACGGGAGCGATGGTGGCGACGCAGTGGAATGCGCGGCCTCGCGTCACCCCCCTGCTCCAGATGATCGAGGTCCCTTTTTCGGCGGGGAGGGATGCTGGAAGCACGTGGCTGGGAGCGCCAGCCACGACTGAGGGATGCCAATGAGCATCTCTGACTCGGGCACAGAAGTGGGAACCGCGTCGTGTCCCCAGGGTTCACCGCTGAGCACACGCCTTGGGGCGCCACCTTCTCTAGGGCCCAGGGCCCACAGGACAGAGGAACCTCGCGTGGCTGTGGCGGACGAAAAAATAATACGAAAGCCGAACAGTTACGCAACGCTTGCTTTGAGGCCCCACTTTTCTCCAAAGCCCGAAGCCGGGGATCCCCCAGCGCTCGGGAATGGGCCGCGCCCCACGCCGCGATCGGGGCGCCCTGGCTCTCCCCCGCGGCCTCGCTCGCAGCGATGCCCACCTGCATGGAGAAAGCGCGACACCGGCTGAAGGCCACTGCTGCAGCTGCGAGCACCGCGGCCCCCCCGATCCCGCAACGCTCGCGAGAGACCGTTGCCCTGCCGACGGCAGGCCGTCCATCGCGGAATACAGCCTGCCTAGAAGCCAAAACAAAAAAAAAAAAAAAAAATTCACACAAAGGGCTTTCGTGCCGCCAACAGTGCAACGCATGTGCACCCATGCCACTGGATCCCCGGCGATCTGGCCCAGGGTTGATGTACGGCCGTGCTCTAAGATGCACTTGAAAGGACTATGGTGTGGCAGCGCTGTTGGCGGCGACGAGATCCCAATCTCCGCTACAAACAGACATTACATGGTGGTTTGGCACAGCCACACCACCATGCAACGTCAATTTGTTCATCCGCTGACAGCATCACGCGTCGCGGCAGCAGAACGCACTAGCGCGTGAGGGCATGCAGGGCTGGCGATGTGGCTGGCCAGCTGACAGCGCGATTTCGGCATAAGTGCCGACATCCACGTAGGATCGTTTGGGGCGTGGTATCCGGCGCAGCTGCATCGCACTGCCAGGCGCCGCGGCCTTGCGTTCGTAGCGCCAGGCCCCGTGCGTTCCGCGAGGTCGCGCGTGCTCGTGTGGGGCTGGCGAAAACGATCGCACGCAAAGGAAATTCCTTTGTGTACCCCCCGCCGCACACAAAGGAAGTATACGAGACTTCGTGGCACACAAAGGAATTACAGCAACGCCCTTTGGGTTGCGCTGTTCGCGCGCAGTGACAAATCCAAGCTGGAAAGGAAGGGGGGCGGGATAAGGCAAAACAGGGGAAGAGGAAAAGGAAGAGGAGGGCGAGAAAGAAGCGAAAGAAACAGCGGAAGGAAACCAGGATGCGCGCAAGCGAAGCTAACACTGCGCGCCGAGACAGTTGTTCGTTCGTTCGGTTGGCCGTGCGGCATATGAATAGGAAGGAGTTGTTTGCTGCCTATCGAAAGGACTTTTGGGGAAGGAGACCCGCACTGTCTTCCCAACCCCCTTTCCCACCCCCCGCTGCGAGCGCGCGACGATATGTTCTGGCACGCGGGCAGAGGACTGCCAAGTGCCGTGCTGGTGAGCGGCTTGTTCACCCGTCACGCGTTCCAAACAAATTGCCACACAAACCGCCAGCTCCAAACACCGACGCCACCCCGATCCTCGCATCCGTGCCAGGCACCCTCTCAACGACGCCCCCGTCCGGCGCAAAACCAATAAAACATTTTGTGTTTATGTGTTTTCTCCTGTTCTGACTGTCGGGGCGCACCAGGTCCCAGCTGTCGAGGGCGCGCCTCTCCCCGCCGTCGTTGCAGAAGGGGCACGTCTCGTACAGCTCGCCGAGCGCCTGCTCAGAAAGCAGGTCCTTCACTTGCTCTGGGTCGTTGGTGTCGGACTCGGCAAGCTGACCCGCCTTCCCACTGCGGGCGTCCGATAAATCCTGGACCCTAGCCGAGAACCAGTCGCAGCAAGAGGCCTGATCGCCGCACTTTGAGGGGCCGCTGTGACAGCATCCAATATGGCAGGAGACGCGGCCGCCGACAACATCCTGGTAGGATACAGCCAAACCTGAGACAGAAGAATCTCCTCCAAGAACGTGAGACCCTCCGCTGGCCAAACTGAAGAACACTCGAGGATGCCCTCCCCCTGTAAGCACAAGAACTCACAACAAGCACGAAGAACATTAGGGTACCCTCCCCGAACTGACCTCGCCCTTAGACCTCGGTCCGACCGTAACTCAATTCCACACCACAGAGGCGCGGCGGCGGGGCTGGCTGGTAAGATGGCAGCGGCCGCGAGCACCGGGCAAGGCGGGCCATCGCGGTAGAGCTTCGTGCGGACCGGGGCCAGGAAGTTGCTGCTTGTGCAGGCTGCGGCGGGCTGCACCAAGGCTTCTTGAGACAAACTCCCACCAGCCCTCCGGGGTGTGAAAGGGGCTTGGCTGGTGGCAGCCATCCGAGACCATCCCCCGACAGCGCCCCCGCTCGGAGGACGGTGACAACGAAGAGGACGAGGGGAGACAGGGGAAACTCAAGAGGGGGTGGGACGGCTGCCCCCTCTCATTCCCCCGCTCCCTTCGGAACACGGCTCACACAGACCGCGGCCCGCCAGGAATACCAGGGACGGCCCCGTAGACGTAGTCCCACCAGCCCTCTGGGAGTCGGTGGTTTAGGGCGTTTCCTCTTCCACCCCTCCTTCCCCTTCGGGGAGGGGTTCACCCCTCCCCCTCCCCCTCTCCCCTGGACCTGGAGGGGGGAGGGGGTCGCGAGCTGTCAGAGCGTGCAGAGCGGCCTCGGCGAGGAAGCAAAAATCATTGGTTGTACTCCGGTGTCGGCCCCATTTTGGCCTCCTGAGGGGGGGCCCTAATTGAAGCTCCCCTCTTGTTTGATCGATCTCCTCCAAGATGGCCCCAAGAAGCGCCCAGGAGGCCCCAAGAGGTCCCAAGATGGCCCCGAGATGGCCCCGAGATGGCCCCAAGAGGCCCCCAAGAGGCCCCCAGGAGGCCCCCAAGAGACCCCCAAGAGGCCCCAAGAGACCCCCCAGAGGCACCCAAGATGCTCCAAGAGGCCTCGGCGAGAATGCCAAATCACTGATGTTACTAAGGTTTTAGCCGCATGTTGGCCTCTTGGGGGGGGGGGGCACTGATTCTCTTGGGGGGGGGGGCACTGATTCAGATGACTCCAAGAACGCCTCGGAGAGCCCAAAATGACCTCCAAGATGGCTCAAGATATCCCAAGATGTCTCATAATGGTTTCCTCTGTGTGCTGCCCACTTCCCTGATCGAAGCAATTCCTCTGGGCCTCGTGTCTGGATGGGCTGGTGGGGCTTCGCGAAGCGTCAACACTTCGGATCCCGCCCTCCCGTCTACTTCGGCAAAACTCTAACACGGATCGTGGCCGACAGGGATCTCCACCACATACGGTCCCAAAGGCAAGGTCAGCACTGCACCCCCCCTGGCCACTTCGGCACACCCAATCACGCGGATCGTGCCCACAAGGAGCGCCACCTAAAGGCCCAGAAACAATGTTCCCCACAGACCCCCCCCGGCTGCTCAGACGAATGCATGTCGGACAACCATATCGGTATAGATCACACTCTCAGTTGCCACTGAGAGCATAACGAGAACGCTGGCAGTGTTGCCCACAGCCGCGGAGGAGGAGGAGGAGGAGGAGGAGGAGGAAGAGTGAAGACGATGAGGAGGAAGAGGAGGAAGAGGAGGAGGAGAAGCATGAGAAGGGGAAGGAACGTCCACGAACCAGCGACCAATCTCTATCAGAGCAACCGAACATGAAAACGTCCTCGAGAAGACCCCTTGGCATGATAATATCGATTCCGGACAGAAGCAAATCCTGGACCTGGGGCCTTCCCCACGGACCAACTTCCGGAGCCGTTTCCAGGCAGGCCCCCCTTTCGCTCTGGACTCGTTCCCTTCAGGGTGCCCACAAAAACATGTACGCGCCCAACCACGTACATGAATACGACACCTCCAGTCTGCGAGATTGGTCCCGCGATTCGAACGTTCGCGCAATGCGTACCTTCGACACCAAGTTGGCTCCTTCTCCTGCCAGCCGCCGCGCCGCGCTCGAGGGGAAAGGGTCGAGGAGGAAGGGTCGAGTGTTGAGAGAGAGGCGGAGGAGGAGGAGGCGGAGGAGGAGGAGGGAGAAGAGGCGGAAAGAGAGAACGAGGAGGCGGACAAGGAAGGAGGAGGAGGAGGAGGAGGAGGAGAACGAGGAGAACGAGGAAGAGGAGGAGGAGGAAGATGAGGAAGAGGAGGAGGCGGACGAGGAGAACGAGGAGGAGGAAGAGGAGGCGACGGACCCGCTTCCTTCCTGGCGAGCGCCCCCCGAGGAGGCTCCGTCGCGCTGCTCGCGCCCGCCCGCCCCCCCGAAGAGGTCCTGCAGCGGGGCACGGCGAAGGCCGCGGCGCCAGCCCTGCGACGCTGGGGGGGGCGGCTGCTCGGCGTGCGCGGCGGGAAGGGGTCCACATCACATCCACCACCTGGGGAACCGACGCCCTGCTGAGCAGCAACGAGAGGACCCCCAATCCTTTGGGAGGCGACCGGAGTCAGGAGGCCAAAACACGTTGGGGGCAGGGGGTCTTTTTCTTTTCCCGCCGATGTGCCAAACCAGACCACCCACACGGATTACCCCTGGTGCACAGACGGGGACGTCAGCGAGGCCACGTCGTCACTCTATTATTAGGGTTCGGTTTTTGCGTTACCTCGGCGGTGGACAAACCTCCCTTCAGTAAACCTCCCCTTGGTGAAAACGGCCTGGGACCGAAACCGACGGACCTGGACCCACAAAAATGACGGCCGCGACGCCCTCTCGCGAACCGAAAACGGCCAATTCCTTAATCGACGTGTCAGGGTAGGAGGTCCATCCACCTCCGATTACCCTCAAAGATCTGGGACCCCGGGGGGGCGGTGCATGTGCACACGTCTGGGCCAGTGGCCTCGGGCTCGGGCTCGGCACCGCGCGCGCGGGGCCAGGCAGGTGCTGCGGGGTGGGTGGGGGGAGGGCAGGGGGCGCCGAGGCGCCCCCGCTTTCGCACTTTCCCACGCGTTTATCACTCTCTCTCTCTCTCTCTGCTCTTAGGAGTCAACTACTGGGAGGTCCTCGTCGGAAGGATTACAGAAGATTAAGCCCCATTGGGGGGCTGTTATGCCAGAGTGGGCCTCGGTTCAAGCGGGATTAAGCCGGATTAAGCGGGATTAAGCGGGATCAAGCGGGATTTAATCGGGATTAAGCGGGATTAAAAGGATTAAGCCGGATTAAGCGGGATTTCGGACCAGGGCTAAATCAGAATGTTACCTCCCAGGAGGTGCACCCGAACTGCTCTTCGCACCTCTTCTGCTCTTCGGGCAATACTGCCCGGACGTCGAGACCCGGACCGAAGCAGCGCAGGCCGCCGAGGCGCCCGCGTGGAGATGCGGACGTAAGTCGGGCATGTTCCCCTACAGGGGGATTTTGGTGAAAAATAAGAAAGTACCCCCAAAAATTAAAATACTCCCAGAGTTGAAATATTCAAACATACTGAAAAATGTTGTAGAAATGGTCCCGAGGGTATTTTTTGACTATTGTTGAAAAATTCCTCCTGTGGAGATGTGAACATAACCGAGCCCGGCTGAAATGTGGTCATGTCTGAGCCCTCTGCTGCCCAAGCATCTCCACAGCCGCCGCCTCCCGAGGTCCAGCACTGGCGGTGCCCCAGGCCAGGGGGGGCCAACAGAAAAGACTGATGGGCCTGTTTTCCACCACCACCACCATAAGCTGGAGGGGGAGGGGGTCCTCCTCCTCCTCCTCCTCCTCTTCCTCCTCTTCGCCCTCCTCCTCCTCCTCCCCTCCTCCTCCTCCTCCTCCTCTTCGTCCTCCTCCTCCTTCCCCTTCTCGTCCTCCTCCTCCTCCTCCTCCTCTTCGTCCTCCTCCTCCTCCTCCTCGTCGTCCTCCTCTTCCTCCTCCTCCTCCTCCTCCACTTCCTCCTCCTCCTCCTCCTCCTCCTCCACCTCCTCCTCCTCCTCCTCCTCCTCCTCTTCGTCCTGCTCCTCGTTCCCCCCTCCAACCTGTGGTGGTGATGGTGAAAAGCAGGCCCGCAACGACGGAGCACGCGCCCGCCCGACCACGTGCAGGATCACGGCCCCGCCCCCCCCCACGTCCGTCAGCGAGACCACCCGCGTGCTGCGACCGTTCGCGCCAGGCGCGCCCTCGAAGCCAACGCGGATTCATGCACAGTCGAGGCGTTTACCTAAGGAACCCTAAATCAGGAACGAGGCCCCTTCTTCCCAGAAGTTCAGCCTCGATTCCCCATGGAGACCTCGGGAAAGCCCGAGGCAAACTCTGAAACAGTCAAGGAACACCGAGCCCCTCCCCAACGAAAGGGGTTCCTTCTTCAGCGCCCCGACTGTACAGCCATCGTGCTACCAGGAGGAACGCTAAATCATAACAGGGAGCGAAGAGGCTCTTGGGCCGCGGCGAGCCTCGGCCACAAACAGGGCTCCCCGACCTGGACCCAAGGAGCGGCCCGACAACCCTGGGCCCAAAGCGTCCCTTACAGTCGGGGCGTTGACCTGAGGAGCCCTAAATAAGGAACGGGGCCCCTTTCTCCCATGAGTTGAACTTCGATTCCCCATGGAAAACCTCAGGAAAACAAAAGGCAAACTGCAGAACGATCAAGGAACACCGAGCCCCTCCCCAACGAAAAGGGTTCCTTCTTCAGGGCCCCGACTGCATTTCGGCGGCTCGACTGCACGTGTGCGCCCCTCTCTCTTGCCCCTTGACAGGCAGAGGAGGGCACGGACGACCTCCCGCCGCGCAGGGTCGGCCCTGCCTCCGACGGAGCCAGCATCAGCGACGTCCCGAAAATCCGAGTCCCTCCTCTCGGGGGCGGCAAAGAGGGGGGTGTCCAAGAGGGGGGGGTGCAAATCATGACCGGCGGCATGTGCGCGGCCCGACGGGGGGGCCAGGGACGTAATGAAATAAGAAGAGGCGCCATGAAATCTGGGGAAATATCATGGCCCACGCCATGATATCCACCCCCCCCTAGTCATCACCCCCCTCTTTTCCGCCCCCGATCCTCAGCCCAAACCGTTCCTTCTTTCAGCGGCTCGACTGCACGTGTGCGCCCTTCTCTCTTGCCCCTGGCGGGCAGCGGACACGGACGACCCCCCGCCGCGCAGGGCCGGCCCTGCCTCCGACGGAGCCAGCAGCATCAGCGAGCACCGCTTCGCGAGAGATGGGTCCAGGTCGGAGCGTGCGTAGGATCGGCCAGTATCGACACGAGATCGAACCGCATCGGCCGCGCCAATTTCAAACTGCACAACGTCGCCATGCGATCGACTGACTATCGGAATCGAGTCGGCTCGGCGGGAACCGATGTCGAATCGATCGGTTCGGAGTGGACCCAGAAGGGGCAGAGGGCCGAGAAGAGAAGAGGGCGAGACGGCTCAGTGAGGTCGGGCATGTCTCCCTACAGGGGGATTTTGAACGAACAACCGAACATACCAAGCAACTGGTCAAACAAACAATAAAATTCGCCGGCCCAACGGGCCAGAGGCGTGCTAAGATCTCCGGTGACTGCTTTACAATCTTTCTACTTCGCGCGCGCGGGGCGGCCCCTGGGGGCCCCCGGGCGGAAAGTACCCCGGCAAGGTCCCGAGAGAGTCCCGGGAGGAGTCACCAGGGCGCTCCAGCAGCGCACCAACGCGGCTCCGAGACGTCCCCGAGAGCCCCAAGAAGGGCCAAGAGGCTTCCAAGAGGCCCCCAAGATGCTACATGAGGGGTCCGAGATGCCACAAGATCGCTCCAAGACGCCCACGATGGCCCCCAGACGCCCCAAGAGGCCTCCAAGAGCACTCCCGAGAGGGCCCCAAGAGGCAAAATTCACTGCTTTTCCTTAGGTTTTGGAGAGATTTTGGCGTTTCCACCTTTTCGGCTTCACGACACCCCAAGACGGCCCAAGAGGCCCCCAAGACCGCCCCAAGAGGGCCCAAGAGGCCCCCAAGAGGGCCCCAAGACGGCCCAAGAGGGCTCCAAGACGGCCCAAGAGGCCTCCAAGACGGCCCAAGAGGGCCCCAAGAACGCCCCAAGAGGGACCCCAGGGGGGGAACACGAAACAATATTTCGAGCCCTCGGCCCTCAGAAGTCCCCAGGAGGCCCCAAGAGGCCCCTAAGAGGCCCCAAGAGGCCCCCAACAGGCCCTCAGGAGGCCCCCAAGAGGCCCCCAAGAGGCCCCCAAGCGGCCCCAGGAGGCCACCCAAATGCCCCCCCGAGCACGCAAGCAAGTGCCAGCGACGCTACACTATGGGCCGGCGGAATGAGCGAAGCGATTCAATAAAAATTAGCCTGACGAGGGACCCAACCATATGCAGGTGCGAGTACCGCAATAGTGATTCATTTTTTCGGTGGCGATCCCTATGAGGCAACGAACCGTGCTAGGGGCGTGCCGACATGAGTGGCGTGGTACACAAAGTGAACGAAAACGATTGATCTGAGTACGTAGGGAGACTGAGCGCGGGTGAATCTGCGCGCGTGCGTCTGACTGTGAATGATCTGCGTGCGAGCGAGTCTACGTGCATGAATGCGAATATGACAAAGCGTGGTGCAAATGTGTATGAATGCCAATAGTTTGACAACGACTGCCTCTGAATACTCGTGACGCTGGGCGTGGCCGCCGCAAGGAGCTTCCCCGGGACTCCCCGACGGCATCGCCCGCGCGCCGCGACGCCAATGTCGGCGCGCCCCCCCGCGAGGATCGCGCCCGCTTCCTCCCCTTCCTTTACTCCCTCTTTGCCCGCGCACTCAAAAGTCCAAGGCTGCGGGAGCAGCGCAGCGCGGAGCCCCCGCGACGCGCGCAGGTCACCCCGGAGGGGTCCCAGCGACGCGCGCGGGTCGTCCACTGCGCGGAGCGAAGAGAGCTAGCTGGCTGGCTGATAGCGGGCAAGGCTCTTGCCGCTGGGCAGAGCGACGACGGGCGAGCGAGGCGCTGGGCGGAACGCAGCACGGAGCCCCCGCGACGCGCGCAGGTCGCCCCGGAGGAGTCCCAGCGACGCGCGCGGGTCGCCCGCTGCGCGGAGCAAAGAGAGCTAGCTGGCTGGCTGGGACCTGCGGTGGGGCTCCATATGGGGCCACGTAACGCTGTACTGGGCAAAGGAGACGCATGTGGACTGCGCCACGGGGACCTTCGGTGGAGCTCCCTATGGGGCCACGAAACGTGTGAGGGGTGTGCCGAATGGGTGTGCGGGACGCATGCGGGCACACCCACTGGACCTTCGGTGGAGCTCCCTATGGGGCCACGAAACGTGTGAGGGGTGTGCCGAAATGGGTGTGCGGGACGCATGCGGGCACACCCACTGGGACCTTCGGTGGACTATGGGGCCACGAAACGTGTGAGGGTGTGCCGAAATGGGTGTGCGGGACGCATGCGGGCACACCCA